CTTGTGGGCCCATGGGGAGGGGATGGAGGCCGGGCAGGGGGAGGCCATGCCAGGCTGGGTCAGGAGGGCCTGCTTCTGCTCTCCTGGGGCAGGGAGAAAAATGTCGCCTTGAGCAAGGGAGACGTCGGAGCCTTGGCTCTGACGTTCTAGGCCTGCCGCATCTCTGAGCCTTAAACTCCCCCTGCTTGAGTGCCCAGCAGCCGCTGGGTGCTGCTGACCCGGCGCTGCCCCGCTGCAGGCTCAGCTCAGAGTTCACTTGACTCAGCGGATGGTGTCAGGAGCCTGGGCCCGGCTCCACGGCGCTCGCTGCAACCAAATAAAAGGTCGGAGCCTTGGCTCTGACGTTCTAGGCCTGCCGCATCTCTGAGCCTTAAACTCCCCCTGCTTGAGTGCCCAGCAGCCGCTGGGTGCTGCTGACCCGGCGCTGCCCCGCTGCAGGCTCAGCTCAGAGTTCACTTGACTCAGCGGATGGTGTCAGGAGCCTGGGCCCGGCTCCACGGCGCTCGCTGCAACCAAATAAAAGATTTTTCTACTTTCTTATCGGGAGATCTCTCCAGCGGGTTCTTTCTTTGCTGCTGAGCCAGGGTCCTTCCCCTCTTTCTCAGGCCAAGCAGCTGCTTCCTCTGGGGCCATGGTGCCCAGAGCAGACCCACAGGACACCTGGGGGGATATTAGGGGCTGGACGTCATGTGGGGTCTCCGCTGAGGGAACGTGGCAGCAGTGGTCTCCCCTGCCCACTGCACCACCTGGAAAAGGAGGTGAGATCGCTGCAGCTGCAGCAGATTTGGACTCCCCCATCATTGGGCCCCATGAACACAGCAGGGTCCTCGCGGCCGGACGTGGCACAGGCTTCGCGGGGTGCTCCAGGGAACAAACCACCCAGCAGGAGGCCCCTGCTGGCAAAGCACAGCCGCCCAGCCCCGGCCCTCCCCCCTGTACCCCCCCACTCAGTGGGCTGGGGCCGTGGGTGGGGTACAAGTCCCAGGATGAGTTCAGGGGGCAGGCTTGAGGGCTCACAGCTGGGGGAGGGGTTGGGGCTGAGCGCGTAAGTGGCCACCAGGTGAGGTTCGGGTCCCACGCAGCTGACTAGCAGCGCGCCCACAGCCAGCGGCCTGCACTTCAGTGCACGTCACAAAACGGTTCCGCACATGGACCGAAAAGATTAGAGGGAACATTGCTGGGCACCGGATCCTGCCCAGCTGCCTTTTGAGCTCCCTGTGGCCTTGGCTCGAGTGCCGCCTCCGAGCCAGGCAGCGCAATGCCTGTCGGGAAGAGGACGTGGGTTTGGGGGAGGGGCAGAGTGGGGGCACTGCAGTGCTGGGGCTGATGCACAGAGACCACCATTTTAACTCCCAGCCCCTGTAAGAAAGCCTCCGTGTTACCAGCATGGGGCCAGCGGGGGGGCTGCCCATTCCCCGGAGCTCTATGGCCTGGGGGCTGCCCCGTGTCAGGACGTGGGACCCGCCCTTTAGTCATCCCAGGGGAAGCCTCTGGGCTCATCCCCTCTTGGGCCTTTGCCTGGGAAGGGCCCTTGGGACACCAGCTGCTCTGCTGCTTGCCGGGCCTGGGCTGGGGCTGTTTCCTCCTGGCTGGGCCCAGTGGCCTCTGCAGCCCCAGGGCCTGGTCTGTCTGCAGCCTCCAGCAGCTGCCCAGGTTTGGGAGCAGCCTGTGCTGCTTGCAGCAGCTGGCGGGAGGGGGCTGCACATTTCGAACCTGTGGGTGGCAGATGCAGCCCTGGTCACCATGGCCCCAGCTCTGATGTGCTTCCCCCCCCCCCCCCCCAGGTGGCTGCTCCCTGGCATTGGTCTGCCCTGCTGCCTGCCGTTGGCTGCCCTGTTTTGCCCTGGAGCACGCCCGGGGATTCGCTCATTACCCCTTCCCCATAAAACAGGCTGCCCGTCAGCTGGGGACGAGCAGGGACTGGTCCCGGCTCATGCTGCTGGCTGGCTCCCTGCACGGCAGAGCCAGAGAAAAGCTTCGGGGGGCACCGAGTTAGTCTGGTACCGAAAACCAACCAATGGGCTGGCAGCACCTTCTAGACTAACAGAGCGTGAGCTTTCGGGGGCACAGCCCACTTCTTCAGAGGGCCGGAAGCTGTTGCTACTGTTTAGCCCAGCAGTGGAGCAGCTGGCTCCTGCGGAGGCGTGATCCCACAATCCCTGGCCAGGCGCCAATGACTGTGGCACGCTGGCAGGGGCAAGGGCGGGCATGGGGCTGAGGCAAATGGCTAGCTGGGAACACGGCACTAAGTCGCTAAGGGCTCAGGTGTCGAGCAGGTGCAAGTGTTTAGCCTGGTTTGCATGGGCAGATTTCAAAACATCTGCCGTGGCTGCAGTGTTGTCAGGCAGCCTGTTTTCGACCAGAGCACCCGCTCGAAAAGGGAGCGGGGCAGCTCCAGTCAGCACTGCCGGCTGGACTGCTAAGTGCGGTCGGTGGCGCTGTGAGGCTAAGGCTAGTCCCTACCTGCCTTGGCTCCACCCGGTGCCTCAGAAACCGCCAACAGGTCCAGGCCACCTGAGGTAAACCCACCCCAACAAATGTTGCCTCTAATTTTTCCATCCATGTGTGGAATAAATGTAATGTGCACCAAGGCATGTGCCAATGTGCACCAGCAGGAGAAACACGCCAGCTGTAGGCGCTCTGCTCATCAGCAGGGCAGCATTTGAATCTCTCCTGAGCGGCCGCACAGACACCGAGCTCACATGGGCCCCAACACAGAGCCAGGTGGGACACTTGTACTGGGAGCAGGGAGCTGCTGGGGAGGGGACAAGGGGCTGCTTCCTGCTGCACAGAGCCCTGGCTGGCAGCCACCCTGCCATCGGGCAGCCCCACCAGTTTCATCCTCCGCCACTAACCTGCTGCCCTTGCTACCTGGTGGCTGGCCTCTGACAGAGGAGAATTACCCACTGGGCTGACAGGGCTCAGACATTGGGGGAGCTTAGAAAAGCTGACGCCCCCGTGCTCTGCCCCTGCTCCCCCCAGCAGGAGCACGGGGGGAGGGGCGTGTGGGCAAAGGGAAGGAGGGTCTCCACTCGTTCTGGCTCAGGGTGACCTCCTCTTGTGCTCAGGTAGCAGGCCAGTGCCAGTCCTGGCAGAGTGGAGCCACCGAGAGCAGGTCGCGGTCAGACGCTGGCGCAGCTCATGTCTTCGGCTGCGGAGCGCTCTCGCTCAGTCCCCGGCACGTCGGCCGAGGCGTGTTCAGAGGGCTGGAGCCCAGGGCACTAGCACTGAGCCGGCTGCTGGCCTGAGGATACCCCCCTTCAGTCTCTCAAGGCCTGGGTCCTTGGGGGCTGTGCAAGAAGGATACATCACTGGTATCCTCCCACCATGTGCCCAGCCACTGGCGTGTGCCACGGTACCCCAGAGCAAAGGGCGCAGCCCCTAGAACACCCCTCAGAGGAGTGCCTGCCTTAAGAGACACAGCCTGGGTCTAAGATCTCAGTGCTCAGGCTCTGCCCCCCACCCCCACCCCAAACCTCATCTCTGCAGAGCGGGGAAGGGGGAGACAACGGAGCAGGGCAGCTTCCCTGGTCTGAAAGACTCAGCAGCCAGCGCACTCGCTCGGGCCACAGTCTCTGCGCTCCTCACATTCAGTCTGTCTCTGTAGCCCCTAGTCCCACCCAGTCTGCCAGGGCGAGGGCCTGGAACTGGTCCGAAATGCATGACAATTATTGCCCATCCCTGGTTTACAGTGTCAGGGCCTCACAGTATTCGCTGGGTAACAGAACCGTCCCTATGCTCGAGTCCCCCTCCGCAGCCAGAGCCACGCTGCTCTGCAAAGGGGGGTAACTGAAACTCAGCAGTGCTCTTGGGACTGGAACTGGCTGAGAAAGGGTCATTGCTGAGAGCCCCTGGCTGGGCAGAGAAAGGCCGTATGAGACCTTCTGAACCTGCAATCCGGTGGCGGAGGTGGAGTGAACTGAACGTAGTCTTGTGGGAAAGAGAACCGCAAAATGGGGACGAGCAGGTTCCAGGCCAGTTTTTCCCTGTAGATTTTCTCCCATGTTGTCTCCCTACACCCTGCTTACACTGATTAACTATACAGGTGGGGTCAGGCTTTCAATCAAGTTAAGAGAATAACCAGTTTTCTTCCCCCACATGAACACCAAAACCTGAGATGGTGGAACCCAAAAGGGGCTTTTAAATCTGTTTCTTGTCCATGTTTTTTTTGGCTGTTGCAGCATCTGTTTCATGCTCTGAGGCTAGAGAAAAAGCTGGGGTGGTCAGGTTCATTATTGGTTCTTGCCAGTTTTCATGCATGAATATCTGAAGCACTTAAGGGGAATTTTAATCAGGGGGTCTGGCAGCACTTTAGAAAGGCAGGTGATTGTTATTAGCTGCATTGTACACGAGGAAACTGAGGCATAGGCAGCAAAAATAATTTGCCCAATGTCATGTGCTTTGGAGTAGTAGCAGAGCCAAGAACAAGATCCCAGCTTTCCCCCTCCATCTTGCCACTGGGCCAGACTATCTTAGGGCTAGCAAAACATGGCAGAGTTGGGGTTACAAAATAGGCCAGACAAATGTTTTCTGCCCAACAGAAATCTCTTCTCTGGCCTGTGAGGGGGAGAGAAGCTGGGAAGGAACCATTTCCTTCCGTCAAACTATCTTCTGGCCAGCCCGTTTGCAGAACTAACTTGCTGTGCGGGTCCCAGGAATTCAAACCCTTCCCAGCCTGCTGGCTTGCCTACTCCCCCAGGCAGGGCACTTGGAGAATGATTTACTAGCCCTCTGCCCCCTCCTGGTGCCTCTCCGCAGACCTTTGAGACGGGCAGCAGCAGCAGCACCCAGCTCCCCATGCTGATTCCAAGCTCAGTGAAAAATGCTCTGCTTAGAGTTCCTGGCCTCCTGGCTACCGGGCTTCCCCAGCTTGGCCTGGGGCTCCACCCTGACGGACTCTCTCTTGCAAGGTGAGCGCAGAGCAGAGCCTTGGTCCGGCTTCCCCCTCTGGCCTCCTTGGCTTCCCCAGGACCCACCGGCTCTTTCTCCTCTGCAGGGCTAATAGGAGCCTGTGCGGTCTCTGTCCTCTGCAGCCTGGTGAAGATTCACCTCTACATCCAGTGTCTGAAGTAAGTGGGGGAGGAATCCTGGGTCCCAGCCACAGGTTTCCCCGATCTGCTCTGGCTTCCTTCGAGTGGGCCCTGTGGTTAAGGGGCTTCCCACGCCTGCCATTCGAATCCCCGTGTGGCTCACGGCCTGCAAGGGACTGGACCGGGCTGGCCTGCCGGGCCCCTGGGAACAACCCGGCTGCTCGGCCCCAGGGAGGAAATCTGTTTGGCGCTCTAGTGCTTTTTCCTTGGGCGGAGCCTGGAGTCGGATGCTGAGATTAGCTGGTGTCTGGGGCCAGGCTGCTCTTTTTATTTCCCCCTCCCCCCACACACGCAGGCTGGTTCCTGGTCCCATGCCTGGGGTAGGCCAAGCTCATTGCAAACCTTCCTCTGTTCTCTCCCCGCCCCCCCCCAAGATCCCTGTGCCTCTCTTGTGCCAGACTGACCTCCCCATGTGCTCCTAGGGTTGCCAGGTGTCCGGTTTTCTACCAGGCAGCCCAGTGTTCGCCCCTCTGTCCAGTAGAAAAATTCAGAAAATAACGGACAGGTGCAACGTGCACTGTGCGATTCCGGTATTTTCGGAATTCCCAGCTGGGCGCCGGACGGAAGCCTGGCGGGGGCTGGGAGGTGGGGCCGCGATTGGCGCTGAGAGCCCTGTAGTCTCATGCAAAAGTTGGGCCAGGTGGGGCGGGAGAGGGGGCACCCAGCTTGTGCACACAACCAGAGGCTCCCCGGGCCAATCGCCGCCCCCCCGCCCG